CCCAAGAAAAACACTTGAGTTTTAAAAAACATTGGTTTCATGTTGATTTCCTTTTTTATTTTTTAATTTTTCTCAAACTTTCCATTCTCTTGCCTTGGTCTCCCAAGTCACAGGGATTACAGATGTGCACCACTGTGTGCAGCTGATTTTCTTTTCCTACTCATGTAAAGACCCAGGCAAAGGTAATCTCTTCATTCTCATTGCCCACAAGTGCTCCTCTTCCAGGGCTCTGCAGCCCACAAATGGCACCAGCATGGCTCCTACATGGCCCTGGCCTCCGCTTTGACTCTTTTCCTCTGCCACACACCACACACCCAACCCACTGACACATCATACCAGCTCCTCATTCAAAACAGTCTGAGGGGCCCGGGAGATAGCTCAGTAGAATAAGCGCTTGCCTGGCAAATGCAAGGGCCTGAGTTCAATCCCCAGTTCTGCAAAAACAAACAAAACACAGCCTGACCCTGACTCCCCCATCACTTGCTGCCAGCTCCTGGCCAAGACACTGTCCTTTTGCACCTGGATGATTCTAGTAACACCTCACCATGTCCCAGGCTCTTCCATTCTTGCCACTCAAAAGCAAGAGGGCTTCTTAATGTGTGTGACAACACATTGGGTTCAATCTCCACCACTCTCAAAACAAACAAGGGCTCTTTCTCCAGTCATAAATCAGATAACAGTAGGCCCCTTCTCACCTAGAAACGTCACATCACATTTGAGACTCCAAAGACCATACCAGCAAGGTCAGCCTGGGTAACTTAGTGAATGTCCCTGTCCTCCTCTGTGACGCAAACTCCAACTTGTCCTTTAGAGCCTCTGCAAGCTGGGTATGATGGCATACACCTACAATCTGAGCATAGGGGGAGGCTGAGACAGGATTGCAAATTAGAACCTGGCCAGAACATCATGATTTAGCATGACCCTGTCTCAAAATAAAAAAAAACAGGCAGAGGAGACAGCTAGGTGGCATAAGCACCTGCCTGGCAAGTGCACGGTCCCTAGTTCAATCTCCAGTACCACATGCTGTGCCAGCCCCGGAAACTCAGACCACTACAAGTCTGATCTGTGTAGTGAGACCTGTAAATAAATAAATAAATAAATAAACAAAAAAGGGCAGGGGATATAGCTCAGTCTGAAGGCCTTGGTTCAATACCTAGTACCAAAAAAGGGAACGAATAAAACCGCCTGCAGTTTTCTACTGTGTGCCCTGGGCACCCAATGCAGGCCCACCTGACCCGCGAGTACCTTATACATTGTACTAGTGCTGTGTCCTCACCACACGCACTGCAAAAGCACTGAAGGTGGGCACCAGACTTCACTCCTCTTCACATCCCCAGCCCGACAGATGGACAGTGGCCTTCACAACCTGCTGAGCACAGGTATCTGAGCTGCTTGCCTGGAACAGACACCCAGAGCGCCTGTGGGCTGGGTTGTCTTGCTCAACCTGAGGGCAGGAGGGGCCATGTGTAGACACCTCTGCAACTTCCTTGCCTTGTGTTAAGATGCTAGGTGTTGCCAGGCGTGGTGGCACATACCTGTCACCGCAATACTTAGGAGGCTAAGACAGGAAGATCACTGCAAGTTCAGTCTAGCCTGGCCTACACAGTGAACTCAACTCAAGGCCACCCTGAGTACACAGTGAGACCCTCAAAAAAGGGGTCTCAAAAAAGACCAAAGAAACAAAGATGCTATGTTTTCAAAGTGTTTATTTTTTCTCTAAATTTTTTTTAAAAAATCAACCAATCAATTTATTTGGTACAGGGTCTTGCTATGCAGCTTGTACTCATGGTGATCCTCCTGCCTCCTCAGCTTCCCCAGTGCTGCAATCACAGGCGTGTGCCATCACGCCCAGTTCCAGTGGCCAGTACAGTGCTCCTGGGGTTCTGGGGCCAGCACTGCACGCATTACTGGGGAATCAAACCCTGGTCCTTGTGCTTGCCAGGCAGGTGCTTAGACTGCCAAGCTACCTCCCTAGTCCTGTTCTTTCATTATGATGATGATGATGATGATGTATTTGGGTGTTGAAGGGCCTCACTGTGCAGCTCACTCATGGTGATCCTTCTGCTTTTCAGCCTCCCCAGTGCTGGGATTACAGGTATGCACCACTACACCCAGACTCTGGCCTGCTTAGCTGGCCCTGGGGGTGGGACTGGCAAGACATGTGGTGCTGGGGATTGAACTGCAGTCCCTGCTCTTGCCTAAGCAGGTGCTTTTGTCTGCTGAGCTATCTCAACAGTATTCCCCCCTCCCCCCGTTCTTTCTTTAACGGTCTACCACTGACAGACAGGTGGTACACACTTGTAATCTCAGCTACTTGGGAGGCAGAGGCAGGAAGACGGCAAATTCAAGGCCAGTCTGGTGAGACCCTGGCTCAAAATTTGACAAAGGGATGGGGTGTAGCTCAGTGCAAAGGCCCCGTGTTCAATCTCCAAAACCAAACCAACCAAACAAACCAAGTCCACCACCAGTCAGCAAACACATTCTGAAGCCAGTAAAGCTCATCTAGTTCAAATCCCTTGGGCTCTGTCATACTCCTAGAAGCAGCCAAGCTAACAGCCACTTTGCCAGGACCCAGGTGGTCACTCTCTCCTCAAATGGTCAACACAGCCTGTACCATCTACCATTTCTTCCCAGCCCCCCTCTCTCAATGCCACAATCAAGCTTGTGTTTTTTGGGTACTTCCTACATCAGACATTGATAAAAGGGCCTTGTCCTCCAGGGGCTCACAAAGCTGAGGGGCTGATCTCTCTTCTCCAGTCTACACAAAGCCTGCATTAGCATGCAGCAGTAAAGAGCATCCCTTATCCTCCAGTTCCAATGTTTCAAGAGCCTCAAAGGCAGACGGGCCTATGCCTGTAAGGTGAGGCCTGAACTGGGCCCAGCTACCAAAACTTCAGTGCTTATCTCACAAATACTGACTGAGTACCCAGCAGAGCCACGGTAGGTGCTGGGACACATTAGTAAGCAGGGATCACAAGCTCTTGTCTTCCAGGAGTCCACTTTCTTTCATTCTTTTCATTTATGTATTTGGCACAGGGTCTTGCTACACAGCTCGGACTCGTAGTAGTCCTCGTGTTTTCAGCCTTCCCAGTGCTAGGATTACAGGGATGAACTACCATGCATGGACTCCATTACAGGCTCAGCGTGCCCCGGGGGAGGGACCAGAGCGGCATGCATGACTGAGGATTGAACCCTGAAGGAGTCCACTTTCTAGTTTAGGAGGCTAAGACCTCCACAAGCAATGCTCAGGGCTATTATGATAAACAGCTAAGCAAGGTAAAATATCATAGGCAGTCAAACAGGGCTGGGCCCTAGAGGGAGTCAATACAGATGATGAAAATATTTTACAAATGTGGCCGGGGGCATATCTCTCAGTGGTCAGGCCTCAAGATAAAGACAAAATAACCAGGCCTATATGCCTCCCCAGGAGATAAATAATAAATTAACATCAGTCACCCCAGTGGGTGACCAAGAACCCCTAAATTCTTTGCCTTAAAAGGTCCTTATTCTTTTCATGTACCAATTGCTACATGATCTGCTTCCCATTAAATCAGTATTACAGAAGCAGGCAAACTTGTAACCATAGCTTTGGCCCAAATTATACCCACCTCACAACTCTGTATCCACCTCATGATTTTGGTCTATAAGACCTCCTCTGTAAAGTGGGGTCCCTGGCAATCTATTTTTCACATGCCTCTATCTGGTAATCTGAACATCTAACCTGAAAACAATGATATCCAAATAATCATTGTTGAATTCCTATCATTATTACCACTATTTTTAACAACTATTTATTTGGTATAGGGTGTCACTATGCAGCTTGGATTCCCAGTGAGTCTCCTGTCTCAGCCCCCCCAGCACCCCACCCCCTACACAGTGCTGTGATTACAGGCAGGCCAGGATGGCGGGCCTGGGTTTCCGGAGCCAGCACTGCATGTGGTACTGGGGATCAAACCCTGGTTCTTGCGCTTTCCGGGCAGGCGCTTAGACCACTGAGCTATCTCCCCAACCCCATTTTTATCATTTTGTTTAGTGAAATTCTGTACCGTTTCTCATGTTTTCCTTACTATTTTTTATTCTCATTTAAAAAAAGAAAAATAAGAAGCGAAAATAAGTATTTACTTGTAACCTCCTTGGAACTCATTCTTCAGTTTGGGGGGGGCACAATCTCAGTGTATCCTGGCATCTAGCAGGCTGAAATTTACATTTATTTCCCCTATATCACGATGACAGGGGAAGGGCCAGAGGATCCACAACCCAACCCTGGCAAAACAAAAGAAGCCAAGGCTGATTGTCATCAACACGGGCGTGTCCCTGTGCAATGGACCTTGGGAGGCTGTGGATGGTCCAATTGGGGGCTATACCTATGAAGGTCCAGATGGTGCATCTAGAGCCCACCCTCCTGTTCCCCACTCTCATTTCTGGGAAAGTAAACTGAGGCCAAAAGAGTCCCGGCGAGTTAGAGCCAGGTCCAAAACCCAAGTAAATCATCACCTTCAATAAAACCCAGAGGTTACAGGGGTTTCTGGAACGAAACTATCTGGTTTTAATCCTGCCTCTGCCACTTACCAGCTGTGTGGCCTGGGGTAATGACCGCCTCTCTGTGCCTCAGTTTCCTCAGTTGTAAAATAAGAATGACTACGGTATCTATTTCCCGGGCCTGTTACGAAAATCAAATACACAAATGTAAAGCAGGACGTTGCCTGGGTCACAGCATGCCTTGCACACGGTGATGCTGTTAGGCTCCAACACTCGCGCCCGGGCTGGCGCCACGTTCCCTTCCGGCCGGAGGACGCTCCCCCCGCGCGGGTCCCCGGCGCCCTTCAGCCCCAGCCGTCCGGCAGGCAGCGCGCACGCGCGGGCCTCGAGCTGCCGAACAGGCGCCCCGCCTGCGCCCCCCTGCCCGCGGCCTCGGGAAAGAAGGAAGGGCGGCGGTCCCACTCAGCCTCGGAGGAGCCGCACCGGCACCCGAAAGTCCCCCCGGGCTCCCAGCCCCCAACCCGGAGAGCGAGTCGGTTCCTCACACTCTGCAGCAGATTCCTCCTCTGCGCCGCCATCTTGGAGAGACCCCCGCTGTGCGCCCGCGTCCCAGCGGAGCAGCGAGAAGGGCGGAAAGAGCGGCCGGAGCGGCTGGGCGGGCTGCGCTGTGGGACGCATGCGCACAGCGCCCCCATTGGGCCGATCCGCGTCGGCCCGGGTGTGCGCATGCGCTGTCGGCGGCTTGCCGCTCCGGCTTCTGAAAGGTCCCAGGATCTTGGGCTCTTTTACAATCCTCACCCGGTTGCTTCTCACCCTATATCCCCGTCCCCTGCCCTTTTGGTACTGAGGATTGCATCTAGGGCCTTTCCACTGAGCTACCTCCCCAGCCTTTTTATTTTGATTGTTGACACTGTCTTGCTAAATCTCTTTAAATTGTCCAGGCTATGCTTGAACTTGTGATCCTGCTGACTCAGCATTTCAGAATGCTGTGGATACAAGCATGTGCCACCATATGTGGCTTATTGGCCTGTCTTTAGGTGTGCACATTCTTTAGGATGCCTTTCAGATAGGGTCTCTAAGGCCCCTGATTAATGTTGTTTATCAGCACACTGGGAGCAGGGGAGAGTACCTTATTAATTCACTCAACAGATGTTCATTGGGTGTTTGCCCCGGCCCTGGAGTGTTGGGACAGTTGGGCAAAAGAGGCCTGCAAAAGCTAATGTTTGAGGGGTTGGGGACCTAGCTCGTCGGTCTAAGTGTCTGCCTGGCAACCGCAAAGATCCCTGGCAAGAGCAAGGACCAGGTTGGATCCCTGGTACTGCATACACTGTGCCAGCCCCAGAACCCCAGGCCTGCAGTTTGGGCCACTGAAACTGGGTGTGGTGACACACGCTTGTAATCCCAGCGCTGGGAGGCTGAGACTAGAAGATCTCTAAGAGTTTGAGCTGCATAGCAAGACTTTGTACCAAATAAATCAATAAATTTAAAAATTTAAATTGGGGGCCGGGGAGATGGCTCAGTGGAATAAGCACTTCCCTGGCAAGCTCAAGGGCCTGAGTTCAATCTCTGGTTCTGCAAAAAA